TGGCCCATTCGTCCGAGGCGTTCAAGGCGCCATCGGTTAAAGTACAGAGTTGCGTCCTCCTGTGCACTCAAGCCGGAAAAATGTGATTCCCTTCTGTTTTAGTTTAAAGTTATAACTACAGACTGCCGGAACCGGATTCAGAGACCACAGCACTCCCGGATGTTGGTTTGGGAGAGACACGGTCTGTTGCGTTAGATGCATGCTGATTTGCCTCCAAGGCATCAATCAACGCGTGTAAATATGTCACCACAAATACCAGCATCAGTATCTGACCACGAGAACTGTCCCAGGTCTACTCGGTACACTGACGCACAATCAGTCATGTCACAGAACAGAGACCAAAGAAAATATATCGAATGATCGAGAAAAGCAGCGTTCCGACATAAGACCATTCATCAATGTAAATCCGTACAGGTATATATACTAGTTGAACCTGTAAACAGTCGCAGCATGAATCGTCGATTTCAACAGGCTAATTTGTAAGTTTGGGTTTGATTGTCCAGTGATCGATCTGGTCAGTTATTGACTTGTGTCCGGCGTACACACTCTGAAGCTGATGGAACGTAAACATCAATCCGTAAATATGCCGTGTTGACATAGGTATTGTTAACAACGGGCTCGCTGCCGACTCATAAACAAAACCTCACAACGGATCAACTATATAGCCCAATAAAGACATGGCAACACACACTGCTTTCAATACGAGTAAAGGGTCCACTTAGTGTTGTTACTTTGTGTAGTGTATTTACTGTATGTCTCTGTTGACATTTTGGATCGTTGACGTACTTATACAACCACTTATATCAATGACTGTGAGGGAATGAGATCTCGACTACTGTGAGTGAGTGAGTTTCGTTTTACGCCGGACCCACCATATTCCAGCTATATGGCGGCGGTCTGTAAATAATCGAGTCTGGACCAGACAATCCAGTGATCAACAGCTTGAGCATCGATCTGCGCAACTGGGAACCGATGACTTGTGTCAACCAAGTCAGCGAGCCTGACCACCCGATCCCGTTAGTCGCCTCTTACGACAAGCATCGGTTACTGAAGATTCATTCTAACCCGGATCTTCACGGGAATCGACTACGGTACCGGAGGGAAGAGTCAGAATGAATGTCAGGATACACATGACGGTTTAATCTTTACAATGTTGTAGTTTGTGTATCGGGGTGTTATACATGATTTGAAATGGGTCTGGGGTGAAGGGAGGGATAGGATAGTCGGCTGGTTAAAGTCTTTCCACATCACACCGTCGATTTTGTTTCGTTCTCCATCTCTTTAATTCCTGGATTAGTTCCGACTGCAGCGAGCAGAGTACTAATCGCACTCACTGCAAACAGGTGTTGTAATATGTCCTCAAACACTTAACCGGGTAGGAAATATGGTGACGTGGCATACAACTATATATTGAAGGACAATTGAGACCGCTATCCCTCAAAATATACCGACAGCCAAAAGAAACTTTAAATCAGTCTACAAAGGATGACCATCTCAACACATGCATACATAATGACAAGGATACAGCAACCGATATTGACATGTCAATTGCCCGAAAATAGGCCTGGTAGCAAAAACAAGCTTCAATCGCAATGGACAATCGGCATACACATCTATATAAAATCGCTCAACTTCAATGAGACGTCACATTAATAGCGTCTATTGCTTCCCCTGCTACAAACATGCAATAACTCTGAGGCGCACAGAAATGGTCTGATGGTGTCACACATCTCGATTCTTCTTGGAGGGCCTGGTTCTTTTTCCTAGCGATTTTCTGGAGACTGTGGTCATTGCCACACATGACTACTCATGACATCCCAGAGTTGTTCAAAGTGAAGGATTGCTTGGGAGCGTGCTGACTGTTACAAGGACATTGTGTACAGTTCAGACGTTGTTGTGCTGATAAAGGACACCATTTTGCATCTGATGAAGAAATGGTTGGACAGTATGACAAAGAATGAGTTCCATATAATGCTGATCTGTCACACTGCCATTAACGAAGACCATCGGTGTTCTCTCCTGCCTACACATTCCTCCTACACCAGAACACTCTCTCCACTATACGACCTCCTGAACATTTCAGTGGTTCTTGTTGAATGTGAGTGTCTCACATGTCCTCAGTCCCCTCTGTACATCGATATATACTCTCCCAAAAGAAACGCATCATGAAAATAGCAATTTCATGTAGCAATGAATTAAAACGTGATTCATTTTACAAAAGGTTTTGCTCTGTTTATGAGTCCTATGGTGTTTATGTTTTGAAACATCACAACAAAACGCACCATCCGTAACATACCCGTATTTAACAGCATGATTTTCAATTTCGGCGTGTAGTGTCACAGAATACACAATTCACATGCAATGCACGTGAAAGTTGGGGATCAGATAGTCTCAATGATGGGTATAAAAGGTTGATCGCTGTCTGTCGATTATTCGCTGTATTTGGAATATTGTTGACGAACGCAAAATGCCACGTCTAAGTGAAGCCAACCGTCATATCGCCATTGGTTTGCTTGAAGCTGGCCAGTCTTAACGTGCAGTTGCCCGACGCATGAATGTTCACCAAAGCACCATTTCACGGCTCTGGGAGAGATATTGTCGGCAGAATTCGGTAGCAGATGCCCCTCGTAGTGGGCGACCTCGAGCGACCACTGCGGCGCAGGATCGCTACATCCGGGTACATCACCTGCGTCATCGAACAGCTACGGCGACCAGTACCGCTCGACAAATACCCGGATTGAGGAGGCTTTCTGCACAGACCGTCAGGATTAGGTTGAGAGAGGCTGTTTACGTGCCAGAAGACCTTATTTTGGCCCTGTGCTTCGACAACAACATCGTCGACATCGAGTTTAATGGTTCACCAACGTTCAGGCCTGGAACCTACCGAATTGGCGTAGAATCTGGTTCAGTGATGAATCACGATTTCAATTGGAACGACGCGATGGAAGAATGCGGGTGTATAGACGTCGACGTGAACGTGTCGCCGACGCTTGCGTTCCCCAGGTGGATAGATTCGGCTGGGGATGTGTTATGATGTGGGGGCGATCACCTGCCGTAGGAGAAGTGATTTGGTGATGATCCAGGACAAGCTGACAGCTCAACGGTACTGTGACGAAATCCTACGCCCACACCTCCTTCCAATCATTGATCGCCAGAGGGAGTTGTTTCAACAGGACAATGCCAGGCCCCACACAGCACGTCACACTAGAGACTTCCTCCAGAACCACAACATCAATGTGCTCCCCTGGCCCTCAAGATCACCGGACTTAAACCCGATCGAACATCTGTGGGATGCCCTGGACAGACGGGTGCGACGCCGTAACCCTCAGCCCCAGACACTTCAGCAACTCGCACAGGCACTACAGGCAGAGTGGGCTGCGATTGGGCAACACGAGATTCTGAGACTTATTCGTTCGATGCCGAGGCGATGCCGTGCAGTTCTGGATGCCCACGGTGGTCACACGAGGTATTGACTTCAGCGCCACCACACGTCTCCATGTGACACTCAAACTGACTTTCCTCGAGTTGGTGCCAAAGACGAATCAGTCTGCATTCCCAGTGTGCAATTTCGCTATATTTCATTGACTCATAAAGCCTACAAGATGTTTCAAAATAAACATAAAAATACAGTTGAAATTCCTATTTTTGGGAGAGTATATATGCCCTGGTTATACCTGTAGTTTCGGCTGCACTTTTGCATAGAGTATTGCTGTGTTTGAACGATGTGTTATGCACGGACATCATTTTTGTTCTTAAATTTTTGCACTTATATGTTTAATGTAATTCTTTTACCGTATTTCTATGACTGTTCAGCCAGAACAAATCCTTTAACGCAGGAATACAGGTGTGACAGCCCACGTCTGTACTGCATCCCCGCGAGTTCGTTAATCCCCTACAGCAGAACAACCACGGCGCCGTTCTATAAAGCGATCGTAGCGCTACGACAGTCGTAAGTCTATGTTCAAGTTACGATCATCTTCGTGCTGAGTTCTCTATGTGGAGCAGAGCCCAGGGCCTAGATTTTCGAAGCTCTCTTAGCGCTAAGATAGTCGTTTGTGCCATACATTAACATTAATCTTAGCGCTAAGAGAGCTTGGAAAATTTAGGCCCTGAGCTGAACAGATCTAACAGAACCTTCACCCTGGACTGTGCTGGTTTAACAGGAACGTTGTATAACCCGTTACGATGCTATTAACGTTTCAAGTTCTGTCTCGATGTGATTGCTGGTAAACAGGTATGCATCGTAACTTGAGAACCTCCACTGTCATCATCAGATAAAATGAAATCGTTATGTACCCAACAAAACATTCCATTCTTTTACACAGCTGATAGCTGTCTCAGCGTCAGATCCATATACTGAAAACAGATACTGACAAAGTCAACTGACTTCACCCGTTTTTCTGAACATGTAAACGAAATTGATAAATGAACTCGTTTCAGCCAGGGCTAAAAGCGCGTGCGGCCCAAGGTAGACAATATCTGAAGACAAGCATCAACCGACAGTGTTAATGTTGGCAACATATTTATATGTTTTTGACATGCGTTAAGACGTGGCATTGAATCGATTCCAAACGTGTTAATCACGTGAAGCCAATTTTTGGCGTTCCCCCTCTGTGATGCTGATTAAAGATGCTGAAAGTGTCGTAAAACTATTCTCAGTCACTCACTCACTCACTGGCCTTGAACTGTAAGCGTGTAATCAGCATTTTCCGCCGATTTCTACTTGAATTACGGTGTAAGTGCAGGGAAACTATAAATTGTTACTAATACGTCAACCAGTTTTCTACAACCGTTTGTGGTAAATCATTAATACAAACTATTGAACGCACTATTTACTGCTACTTCAGAATCTATCCCCCGTCTGTTCCTGACACACTATTGGCTGCTCGCCTTGTGTTGACGGAACGATCTGATTGGCTGGAAAGGATTGTATGTTGAACAATGACTGGATGGCGGAAGTGCGGTGATCAAGTTAAGTGGTACAGATGCAACCTCTCGTCTGGTCGATGTCGGATCTCGCGTGAAGTCAGGCGAGATACTCATTTCCTTACAACTGCCTCGCTGCGGTCTCTGTGAAGGATGTCATAAGTCTGTCACAACATCCACGCACCATGACAAACATCGTGTTTATATGTTTGTATCTCTCACTCCTCTGTCAAGTCGGACGTTCACAGAATGACAGTAAGTAAACACACTTACAGAAATATCTTTCAACATCTTATATTATTATTAGTTATTTTAAAGTTTATATATCATAACCGGGATATGTAAGAATATATATTACGGCATATACAACGTCTGTCTGTAAGATGCAGACGTTAATGCTACCAATCAGTCTTCAACAGGCAAATCTAAACATGGCATTAAAACACTTAATCATAAAACGCTATCAAATAATATAGTGTTTGGCAGAACAATCAATAAAACGACTCGATCATTTTATCGTATTACCACATGGAATTAATGTCATAATCTGGATTAGCGCAATATGATAGCACCATTGGAAATGCCGTCCGTGATGCTGGTAATAACGAGGTGGTTGTGTAAAGAAACAAGTCGCCCTTCACATCGAGCTGAGCCAGGTTTTTGCTGGAGAAAAGAAGTTGTTTTCTTCTATATAATATCACATGGATGTCATGCAAGGTTTTCATGACAAAATCCATTTAGGGTTTCTTTAATACACGACAATCGGGTTTATGAGGCAGTTTATATGCAAATTCCTTGTTTACACTGCTTCAGACATATGAGGAAAGTGCAAGACTGCGGATGAAATATCAAACATCCGCTCGTTTGGTAAAGGTAGTTGGACAGTTGGAGGACAATTATTTAAATGGATCTTTGTATGACGCTAGTGCTTCTGGTTGTTGTTGATGTTATATGGCTTATATAATAAGTGTTATTCAGATGTCCAAAATTGTATTAATGAATCCAAGGGCAATATTTAAAATGTTGGTCCGAACAGGCGATCATAGCCAAGCATGCTGGCATGCACATGTAAAGCACGTGCTTCACACACTGTCTCAAAACCAAGGAATTGCATGTTCATGTGCTGCGAAGGCGCCAAACACATTGGGTATAAATTCCAATATTACAGCATATACACTATAGTTCACAGCACCACAACTCGTGAGGTTTGACCTAACAAAACAACGGTTCTAACTTGAACATTAGTCGACATATGTTAGTACGTGACCAGCAGTAAAGCAAAGGATTGCCCAAGACCTGGAAGACCAATGATCGCGATGACCGAGTCCTAATTCGTCTGGCAAGACGCAGTGCCATGACCAATGCCTGAGTGCTTCTCTTCCAGCAGTACCATAGACCAGGCAGCAATGTTTGGCGAGGCGTAGGTTCCAAGAAAACTGCAAGTTGAGGGCATAGGGCTATTTGGTCTGATGAAATTCGCTTTCTCCCACACGTTACCACACGTCGCATATCATTTTGAGATGATCCAAGCAGCTGAATCTTTTGGTGGTGGGTCAGTGATGGTGTGGGGTTGTGTTTCGTATGACTGCAAGCTAGATCTCATTACTGTACCTGGGACACTCAATGGCCATCGTTATCAACATTAAATTCTGGATATTGCCGTCGTCCCACATTTTGAAAACCATCCAATTGCCAGTAATCCGATTAGCAATTTTAGAGATGACTTGTCTGCAATTTAATGTGAAGGTGCTCAGTCCCACTTTAGGCGCCGATGTGTAGCGGCCATCATCCAAGTCTTCATCCAAGTCCCGTACTGGGATTTCAACTTTTGATCCGTGGTGGGACTCCCTTTTTCCGCTTACTTGCACGTAGATTTTGCTTTGCATGTTTTCTTTATGACCTTTTGGCGAATATTTCTTCAAACCCTTCTAACACAAGGGAAAAGGTTCAAAGTAACACGTTTTGTCGCTGAAGCTGTTTACAATCATACAAAGATGACGTTTTGGAAAGAAATAGAATATTTGTATTGTTTTTGCCGCAGCTACATGAGTCCAATATTTCAAATCACCTATGTGATTTTTTTTGTAGAGTGTAGTCAAATCATTTGCTGTCACTGATAACAAGGAACACAATTTTTATTAGTTACAGCGGCAAAACCAGATATATGTTTTCTGTCAAAACTATGAGCATAAGTAGTTTTGATAATAAGACTTTTCAACGGTCTGGAGCACAGTAATTGTGTCAAACATTTACGAAGACAATTTTTTATGAGGATAAAACCCCAGTCCTTTATTAGTCCTCTATCATATGGGACGAATACCCAGCATAGCTTGTCAGCAGATTCAGAAAAAAACCATAATGGATATGCAGTATTGTTATATAATGTCTAAACTCCAGAGAAAAACCAGTCTCGATTATCCGCCGAGCTACATTTCGATGTTTGTGGCCTGAAACCAAACAACGCTCTTCCCAAACGACGACAAAGACGTATGGACTAGTAACATCTACTGTCGTCAATGCTTGGCTTGTGTGATAGTACACTAAGTAGATCCCACCAAGGTTGGAAGCCCAATCCTAGTACTCATAGTTTAATACACCAGTGTTTGAAATGTATTCATCTCGTCACCAGAGATAACAGTAAAAATGTAAAGCAGTGAAAGAGGATATCAATATTGTATGGATTAAGTAGAAGGCTGACGGACACTGATACCCTGACTACCCCTACAGTAACGGTAAATCCACGTTGGTCATATCAAGGTGGTGGAACGTCGCAAAAATCCAAAACGACTTTTTCTGACGTAACACGAAATGCACGTGCATACTGACGGTATAAAACAGCCAACGCGACACGTGAGCAACACAGTAGTAAAAAGAACACAAAAATATGCCACGTTTGAGGCAAATCGAAAGAGAGAGAGAGAGCTGTCGGAATGGCCCAACAAGGAGCTAACCACACCGTCATTGCCAGAACCTTCGGCTGCACCCGAGCAACTGTCATCAGACTGATGCAACGACTAAGACAAACAGGCAATACGTCAGACAGGCCTAGGAGTGGTCGACCACGTGTGACAACGCCCGGTGATGATCGCCACATCCGGACAATTCATCTGAGAAATCGTTTTGTAACGGCGACGTCAACGGCAGCGACGGCACTAGGACACCGTATCAGTCGACATACAGTGTACCGGCGACTAAGAGAACATGGTATTCGAGCACGTCGACCCTACCGCGGAGTGCATCTGACTCTTCAAAACCGACAGTCGTCGATTGACATGGGCCAGGCGAGTTCGACGTTGGCAGATGCGTGATTGGCGACGTGTGATGTTCACCGACGAGAGTAGGTTTTGCCTGTACAGTAATGACGGCCGGGCTCGTGTTTACAGACGAGTAGGTGAACGTTTAGCGCCGAATTGCGTTCAGCAAGTCCGACCGTTTGGAGCCGGTAGCGTGATGGTGTGGGGAGGGGGGAGCAGCGGCGATCTCAAAACGAGACTTGTGATTATTCATGGCAACCTGAATGCTCGAAGATACAGGGATGAAGTTTTGCGACCAGTTGTGTTGCCATTTATCCAGCAACAACCACGTGGTATTGTCTACCAACACGATAACGCAAGGCCTCATACAGCAAGACTGACAAACGACTTTCTGCATAACGCTAACATCGTTGTTTTGCGGTGGCCAGCATGTTCTCCCGACATGAATCCGATAGAACACTTATGGGACTACCTGGATCGACAAATCAGAAGACTACCAGCGCCACCTGTCACCGCTCAACAACTGGAACAATGTCTCCTACAGGAATGGCAACGGATCACGCCTAACGTCATTCGTCGTCTTACGTCATCAATGCGTCGACGTGTTTTGGCGTGTATTGAAGCCAATGGTGGTCACTCTTACTATTGAGTCAACATTTGATGACATTTTGCAGAATAAAAACGCCTTGTTAATTTGTTTAAAAGTTCAGGCTATGATACCACGTGTCTTTCAGTGTCAGTCAAACGTTACTTTCGACTTTGTATGAAATGAAATTATGGAAATTTGCTGTTATATTGCTTCATGTACAAACACACAAAGTATGTTTACCCGGCCTTTTCACGATGGCGATTTTACAAATAATGAAAGCACGAAGGGCGATTGATGGATTTTAACATGAAATACGGTGATAGTGGTGACCGTAAACTAGAGAAACAGTTCAGCTGTATTTTGAAATCGTGGACGTAAACTATTTTGATTAATGTAAAAGAAATGTCCGCTCGAACACACCGTGAGTGTTGACACCCATTGAGACGGATCATCGAGGAAGCGCCTTGAGCTCAGTCTGTCGTCTTGTCCACATGAGCACCTTTTATTGTTATAGCGGTAATATTTTCATATTAAATATACTACCCATCAAAAGTTTACGCTCACTAATGTAAATGTAGCCAATTACTTCAGGCAACTGTTCTAAACTAAATTTTGCAAAATATTCCATACTGTTTAAAGGTGTTGTTTACACATGAACGGATGTATTGTGAATTCGTAACGTTGAAAAGATTATTCTCATTAGTTCAATAAATGATAAAAATCAGTGAAAATTGTCGAATTCTTAACAACACTTTGCACCAAAACGTAGCTGTTCACATGCACAATATTTGCACATACTTTTCAGCAATTTGATGCATGATCCTTCATTTGCATAAGGTTTGCAGTTGACACACACACACACACGCACACACACACACACACACACACACACACACACACACACACACACAAATAAAATAATAAATAATAAAATAACATATAGTGAGTGCTTTAAGTGAGTCTAAACTTTTGATTGGTAGTATATGTTCAGTTCTAAACTGTACAAACTCATGAACAGACTAAGACGACCTCCAAAACCAATTAGACCTAGTTCCCAATTGTATCAGTAAACTTATAGCATACATCTGATGTCACGGGTCTTGAAGATTGGTTCCCAGGCAACAGGGGAGTTGACTCTGCTACTGGAGATAATCTGATAATGATTCTCCAAACGGGTGTTTATGTTCCGTTTTGTGGAAGGCATAACGGAATACTGAAACTAATGCCGAAAGTAAAGAATAGCTTATTCAATATTATTTTGGAAAATTGAGCGAAATCTTGTTCACTGTAGAAATCTGTACTATTATTATTCCACTGCAGCCTTAATAATACAATCTTGACCCTAGGGTACTATGACTCGCATCGAGTCACAGAGATCAGCCTCCGTTTTCCAATATTTGGTGATTCTTACG